ATACAAGTTTTTTTCTCAAAAAGAGTTGATTTCAGATGGCTCATTTCTAGAATCATTACTTCACAATCTTACAGTCATAGCTTTCTTTATTTAGATTTTGGCAGAACTCATTTAGCTTTAAAATGTTCCCAAAATCATCATTATTTGCCTGTCAGACTTGTGATGCATTTCTGAAATTTAATGTCCTATTGAAAAGTTAATGCAGTGAAAGTTGTGCTCTATGCTTAATCAAACAATACTAGTTCTAAAATCTTTTTAGCAAATTATTACAGGAAAATACAAGCTTGAAGTTTACTAGCTGTAGCAATCTGTATACAAATTGAACTAATGTCTTCTTAGTTTTTGGCATCTTCTTGGTTTGGCATTCACTCATCAATTTACCATTTCATAAAATGAAATTGGGATTTTAGATGATGTATAAATGCGAGGCCTTTCATGTAATTTACACCTACACCTACAATGAACAGCTGTGGTACTTGTGATACATAACTATTTGCTGTTGTTCTAGAATTTTAGTGTGTGCTTATACTATGAATAACAGAAGAAATATCAGTCTTACAGAATTTTGACTCTCCATCATCTATTAGTTGCTTTTAAGTGTCATAATTATGAGAGTATTCAATTATGCATGCTACTGATGGGCAAAAAAAGAAAAAAAAAGAAAAAAAAACCAACAGTAAATGATTCCCATGACTGGGAATCCTTCATATGCAACCCTGTCATTTAAGAACCCTAAATTTTAATTTTTCTGGGATGTAAACACGGAACCCAGTTCCAGAATATGAAAACCAGTGTGTTTTTTCTTCTCTACCATGGCTTAAAATTTAGAAGTAGAGGGATTTGTTCAATGGATCAACATCAAGGTACACACATTTTCCCATAATTGAAGTAGTTCTTTTAACAACTTTTTGTAAAATCACTTCTGTGAGGTCATCCATCTATTTCTGTCAGTTAAGATCTCTTGAGTCACCAAATCTCAAGCTAACTGTAGTTGTTTCTAATTGTTCTGCATAGCATACATTGGAAATTTCAGAGTTTCCCTGGGATAAAGGTATTTCCACTGAAATCTATTCATAATGTATGGACATAACCTTCCAAATTATATCTAAGAATGTGCCGAACTCATTAGATACGTCCAAGAGAAATTTCATAAGGTCAGATCATTTCAAAAGCATCCAAAATCCTTTGAGTATTTGAAAGTGTATTCCCACTTTCCCTTATAAATGAAAGTAGTAGCCATTACTTCAGAGCCAATAGGCTGATAAAAACAAGTCAAACTGTCATCATTTTTTTTGTCTGTGCTTTGGATTTTGGTAGGAATACAAATGCTGTGCACAAATAAAAGTGATAACTGAAGTTTAATAGCATAAATTGTTTGAATTTTAGATTCAGCAGAAATTCTGTTGCTTTTTACAAACTTGAAAAGTGAGCCCGCATCATCTTAATGACGTTCAACAAGGCTAAATGTGTTAGGACAATCTCAAATATGTGTACAGACTGGGAGAAGGACTCATTGAGAAGTAGTTCTGCTGAGAAAGACTTAGAAGTCCTGATGAATGAAAAACTGGACATGAGCCAAAGTGTGTTCTTGCAGACTGGAAGACCTGGTCTGCTTCGAAAGAGGGGTGACCAGAAGGCTGAGGGGGGTGATTGTCCCCCTCTACTCTGCTCTCATGAGACCCCATCGGGAGTACTGCATCCAGATCTGGGATCCTCAGTACAAGAAGGATGTTGAAGGGCCACTACGATGATCAGAGGGCTGGAGTACCTCTCCTACAAAGACAGGCTGAGGGAGCTGGGCTTGTTAAGCCTTGAAAAGAGAAGGCTCTGGGAAGATCTCATTGCAGACTTACAGTACTTAAAACATAACCAGGAGGGAGACAGACTTTGCATAGCCAGATAGTGCTATTATAAGAGGGAATGGTTTTAAATGAGTGGTTTTAAACTAATGGTTTTAAAAGAGTGGAGATTTAGGTTAGATTTTTGGAAGAAATTCTTTACTTAGAAAGTGGTGAGACATAGGATCAGATTGTCCATGGAAGCTGTGGGTGCCCCATGTGTTCTAAGGCTAGATTAGATGGGACCCTGAGAAATCTTTTCAGTGCTTGAATTAGTGGTTAACAATTCTGGCCGTGTCAGGGTGATTAGAATTGGATGATCTTTAAGATTCTTTCCATCCCATCCTAAGATTCTTTGATGTTTTTCTCAATCTTCTGTTCCAGTACGCATTCACTCACCATTCATTTTTACAAGCAAAAATCATCTGGAAGTTGACAAAATGACAGCATCTTTACAGACTCAGCATCAGCAAAAACTACGTCTTTTCTTTCATTGGAACTACAAAACTTCATTGCTTAAATCCATTTCCTAGTAGTAGTTCTAATTTATTAATGAATAATTCACAGTGTGTGTATTTTTAGGGTACAAATGTAGAAAATTCCGTAGGAACTGCCACTGAACCTAGAATGATGACAACTTTATATTTTGTCTGAACTACTTTTAAGCCAGAGTAATTAGTGAGACTGACTGATTGTTTTTTACTTGAATTGGTAACAGGTGGCTTCAATTAAAAATCTATGCATTTTCCTTGAGCTCTTATATTCATCATCAGTTTGTTGAATTTCATGCTACCGTAAATCATTTCTGCAAGATAAGACTTCAGAGCAAAATGTAGCAAGGAAATTTTCAGACAGAAATATTTTTGGCTAATTGGTATTTTGCCTGAAACACAGAAGCAGAGAAAGGAAATTTTGAACATTCAGAGAGCCCAACGTGAGCCCTAAATTCCTCAGGGTCCCATGTAGCTACTCAGAATAGTAATTAAATTTGCAATTCTCTGTTTTGCAAAAATCTTCCCCAACCTTGTGATGAATTTGTTTAGTCTTTTAACATAGCATTTTCACTATCAATTTTTAATGAAAAAATTTTTGACTGGCTTCAAAACTGAATTGAACTTCTTCAAAACCAAACCTGAATATCCTGCATCTACACATGACTTACACTGCTGGCTCATGTTGGCTGAAAAACTCATGTTTTTCTATTTGTTCTTGTCAAATGAAATTTCTAATGCTCTTGAAGCTGTTAGAGTCAATCTGGATACATGGCTGTGGTGTATATTTTGCGACTTTTTGTACCATGAACAGCTATGCTAGTTCTTATCACAGAGTTAACTAGATCAATCTATGCCCGTGACAGAAGGCAGTAGGCCCTTGCCCCCCACCCCTCCCCTGGCCCTACAGAATGGGGAGGAAGGAAGGGAGGAAAAAAAAACAGCAGCAACAATCTATGGAGGTAAACTTTTTTACTAACTATGATATTGGAATGCAAGATAACACAATATAATACAATCTAATTGAAATTGAGACTAATAAATCAAATAAGATAGAAGAGAGAGAGTTCCTGAGACCAAGTCAAACCTGAAAAGCTTGGAACAGCTAGGAAAGCACCCTCCAGCACCCGCTGCCAGGCAGTAAGAGACCGCCCCACCCGGAAGGGTCAGATCCCATGGCTTCCGTAATGTATAGGGATAGGTACCTGGAATAGGAGCATTAACACTTTAATTCCAGTACATGATGTTTTGATGTGGAATACTGAAAACAAAAAAAAAAAACATAAAACCATGACAGTTCTTCTTCTATCATTGACAGAGAAAAATGCAAAGAAAAATTGAAATTTTGAGGTGTTTTCAGTTATCTCTTTGACTCTTCCTTTTTCCAGTCAACTTTCTGTCATGAAAAGATTTTGGACATAGCAGAAAATAAATGAATGACAGAACTCAACCAGCAGATGTGAAATTAATATCTACAGATTGCTACTAAACCCAATAATAATCACCTAAGAAATTTATGTCCAAAAACTTGGAACTTACTGTACCAGAGGAGCAGCCTGCATCTTGGGGAAGTGGGAGGGATTCTGCATACCTGAGCTTTTCTAATCTTGGAGTTATAACTTTTAAAGCTATCATAGCAAGTGATTACAGAAGAGAATGTCTCATAAGTGCTGTGTATATAGTGAAGAATTTATTTATTTTTTAGAAAGTAAGCTAAAGTGGAAAAAATAAGAGAACAACATGTAGAAAAAGTAGAAAAAGGCTTGCAAGTCTAATTTGTAGAATTTTCACCCTGCAAGGGCTAAATCAGAATCTCATTATTTTTATTGATATTTTTTAATGCAAATACTTTTATGCATTTAGACTTGTAATAAATCATGATATAATTTCATACAGAATTTTTTTTCTTAATTATTTTAAGTATAATGGAAAAAATATATACTTCTCAAGTATACAGAATGATTCCAAGGATAAAAATTATAACCAAGGTTTTGATTATTATTTTTAAAATAAATCACATTGATTATTCTTTGATCCATCAGGTTATGAGAAAAAGCACTTGATATCTTTGGCTTAAGGAATTATTGATTGACTATAGGGATTTATGCTTCCTATAGGAAAGATCCTCAAATTCTTCAGATAAGCAGATAAAGAAGATGACAGAAATGTAACAAAGTAATATCACCTGCAAAGAAGGTTTAAGAGCTATTAGATACTGTTGAATTTAAAAACAGATGTTCCGAATAAATACTGTTTATACGCACTTATGAAAAAGTCATGCTCTATAGGAAGCATCGTGTTATATTTCATTGAAAATTTGAACTAGTGGAGAAAATAATTCTTTATATGTTATTTCTGGATTGACCTTGAATAATTAGGAATGAGAATTATCTAATACTGTATGGGTGATATCTGAGTATGTTGAATAATTTAATTATTTCTTCTTAATTTAGTCTGTCCTCTCAGGAAACTTGTGAGCTCAATTCTTTGAAAGAATGAAAAAAATTATCATCACTTCTAAAACAAATAAATAAAAAGTTTTAAAAGGTTTTAGCTCTTGTTTTGTTTTTAGATTATTTAAATAAAGGTAATCAAATTTCCTTTAGTGTATCATAGCAATAAAAATATTTTTTCCATTATAATTTTATCTTATTTTTCTGTTTTCTTTTAGAGATCATCTATAGCTGGGTGTTTAATGAGTTCCCATCTTTTGTGGCAGAAGATAGCAGACGCTTCATCTCCCAGGAGACAGGCAATCTCTACATCTCCAAGGTGCAAAAATCTGATGTTGGCAGCTATATATGTCTGGTAAAAAACACAGTGACAAATGCCAGAGTTTTGAGTCCTCCTACACCTCTGACACTGAGGAATGATGGTAAGAAAGATGTTGCTGGGTACTACATGGAAGCAAAAATTGTTTAGCTAGTGTAAGAACCATGATTATTTGTTTGTTTTTATTTTCAATATGAGTATGTAAGTACTTCTGAGACCAGCAAGAAAAAGATGTCCATGAAGACAGTCTTTTAAAACATCTTATAAGTGTGGGGCTATTTAGATCTCTGAAGTCAGGTGCAGTCTGACACCTCCTGAAGTATTTTGTTTGAAACTCTTACTCCTTTTTGCTATTCTTATGCTTTATCACTGACACAGAAAAAAATTCCTTTCTCAGTAATGTTTGGATCTGTAGGACTCAATACTATTGCCAAATGCAAGTGACTACTGTCATGTTTTGATGCCCTTAGGCACCTGAGATATCCACAGGAGACAGGCAAATATAACAGAGAACATAAAGGACACTCTGCCCTTACAGTCCAGCTGGATGCAAAGAGAGAAATATTGGTGCATCTTGGCTGGTACAAGACATGTGGTTAGAAAACTGAACAGACTCTAATGCTTAAAACATTACTTGATGTTCTGAAGTCTTGTTACCCTTCCAGGCTACAATTCTCTGCATTGATTAAGGACTATCAGGAACATCACAATAGAGTTGATTGCAAAGATAGTTAGCTACCCGGATGCTTTAGAATTCCATGAAGGCATGCCACTGCAGTAGAGTTTTTTTGGTTTTTTTTTTTTTCTGTAATGAAGTACCTAAACATTATTTTCCAAAACTAGCCTTGAAGTTGAAGTAACTCAGTCATTTCCTAAATTCAAAGGAAAACACCTTCCAATAATATTCCCTATGAGGCAGCACAACATCTCAATATAAGTTATGTATATCTCTATTTATATAGCTCCCTGTAGAGAATATTATTTTTTGCTTGTTTGCAAATAGAACATTTATATTTATTTTTTGCTTTCCATCAAAATAATGTTACTTTTGGGAATAAATGTTAATAATTCCATAAGTGCCTATATTTTTTTTTTTTTCCAGTATGAATTCTAGTTCTTCAGAAATTCATTCCAGCAATTCATGATATATGAATTCACATTTATATAAATCTGAGAGAGAAAGAAAATCTGAGGCTTTTGTTTTTCTTATAAATTTATCTAGCACTATTCCTGTGCTGTAGAAGCATTATAAATACTGGACATAAGCAGAGATGATTTTTTTTTACAGACTAAATAAAAAAGTATGTTCATAGACTAGAATGGAATTAAGTTAATCTTTATTCATTGTAACTAGGTGGAAAGCTCTGCCTGCCGAATGTGCAGTTTCTGAAAGAAAAAAAGCTGCGTGTTTTACTGCATCATTTCTTACTTTCAATTTTTTTTTTGTACAGTACTTATGCTAATTATTACATTGTAGGTGTTTAGTTTTACCAAATGAACAAAGCAAGTCTGATCTCTTCACTATTACTCCTTTGAACATGAAACTAATAATACAAAATCAGCAAAGTTATTTTTAATCAGTTCAAATTATGACATATTGTGATATTTATTATTTATATATTGCTCTATTGCTTACGTATTAGATTTTTTTTCATGTTCTTATTGTGTGCAGTGATTCAATGGATTCAACAAATTCAACTATTCTGTGTTTCTGTGATTAGTTATCCATAATAAACTCATTGCTACAGCAATGAGTTTCTCAATCAAAATCTTTTTGGTTCTGTGTAAAGATTCACAAAACAAGTCAGAATTACAATATAGTAAGAAACTCGTATTCTGACTTGTAAAATTATTAAAAATGTGTTACATGCTGAGACAAGCTCAGGAGATTTCTCAGAAATTGACAAGATTATCCAAAAAAGTAAGAATTACTAATAATTTTGCAATTAGAATACTATGTAGTCTGCAAGAGAACGAGATTAACACTCCTACACCATCTGACTAAGATCAGGAACTTCACTCAAAGTTCTTAGGCAAATACTCTTGACCACTGAGCAGTGGAATGTGTATCTTTTGCTAATAAAATAATGGCAAGAATAAATCAGTGCCTAACCTTTCTCCTGAGTGTAGGAAATCTTTGGATTTTGTTTTCTCTCTAGCATTCTAATGATGTTTAAGTCAGGAATCTTATATTCTTCAGTAACTACTGCCTTAAAAGCTTATCAGTCATTTATTAAACTATACCTTCTAACTTGCTTGATTCAAAGTAGGTTTCTGAAGTTAAAGAGCTATTACTTAAACAGTTTTAAAGAAACACAAGTCACTTCAGCTGAAAGGATTGAAGGGACCATTATGGAAGTTTATGCTCTGGGAGCTTCAAGAGTGTAGTTAGTATCTGGAAGATTAATGGAACACTACACAGCAGAAGTAAAGTGATATGTGATGATTTCTCGGCAGTTTGATTTTTTTCCCATGAAATAATAAAAAAAAAAATTCTTGTATGGATACAGTTATAAACTCAGAATTTCTCTGCAAAGTCATGGACGGGAAGGAAAAATGAAAAGGCAGAGCAGTCCTTTCTGAAGTGGTAATGATTGTTTGATATCCTATTTATAGCTTGTTCGGTTGTGCTTAGCTATAGAAAAGACTGACAATGAGAAACCAATCTTAGTATTTTATTCGTGTTTCCATTTCCATTAAATGTCCTACAGGGGATAATGTAAACTGTTTTAGCTATATTAATACCTGTAAATGTTTTCAATTCTACTTCATCTGTTCCTGCGGCATGTGAACACCTCACAATCAATGTTTATCAACTTACTGTGATTTAATGAATTATGTCATCTCTTCTGTTTGATGAAGACAATACTGTATCCAATGGTGCATAGGACAGTTTGGGTAGCAAAAATTGAACTCAAGTCAAAGATTTGCCTCTAAGTCAGAGCAACCTTTACAAATTAAAATTCATTTTATGTAGATTTTTCCTTATATAAGGTTTTTACAATTACTGTTTTCAGTAATCGTAGATATCATAGAAAGTTCATTAGTGTTTCAGTTCAACTTTACCTGGCTAGGGAAGACTCTTAGGGGACAACAAGGTGGACAGTTTTCAGTCCCACACACACTGATAAGGCACAGACCTAGAGATGTGGAAACATAAGGAAGATGACTTGTCACAAAATAAGGGATAAGACTTATTTACAATCAGTCTGAGGAATATTGAAATGTTGGGGTCATCTCTAGGAAGGCTGGTGCTGCAAGATTGTCAGAAAGGAGGTGTTTTCTGGGGAAGGTAGAACTTAGGAGATCACATGATCTCTGTGATCCTACATTGCATTTTTATTCTGTGTTGATCAGTTTTATTTATTGCTGTATTTTGTGCTTGATAGCTGAAACTAAAACATGACAGAAATTTTTTTATGGCCGTAACCAAACATCATGTGTATGTCTGACAGATACATTCTAGTTTTAATAGCATAAGACACTTTAACACAATTATTTTTGGAAACAAAGTCTTAGAATAAAACTTAAAAAATCATCAAAACACAAAACTCTCAGCTTGTCTACATAATCAACAGATGGCTTGGTCATATATAATGAAGTACACTCTGAAAAAGTATATGACTCCATCATACAAGCTATATGAATTATTTTAAGCAGTGGTTATCACAAGACAACTTGAGGTTCCCATAGCTGAAGTTTTAGAAGAAGTTTTAGAAGAAATACAGACATTTAAATCAATAATATTAAATCACTAGTACTAAAGCCATACATACAGTAGTCTAAAATCGGTTGGGATGTACAATTTTTGTTTTCTTGGCTGCAGCTTTTGAAAGTGGCCTAGAAAAACAGTGTAGATTTTTAAACAGGACTTAAGGAATATCCAAGGATCTATAGACTAGTTAGTGTGGATTCTGTATGTTTTGAGAGAAAATATATTTTAAAAGTGCAATTAGTAGAATCATGGAATCATAGGATGGCTTGAGTAGGAATGGACCTTAAAGACTGTCTAGTTCCAACCTCTCCACCACAGGCACGAGTACCTTCCACTAGATCATAGGTTGCCCAAAGACCCCTCCAACCTGGCCTTCATAGAATCATAGAATCATAGAATCATAGAATCAAACACAGAATGGCCTGGATTGGAAAACACACTAAAGTTCATTTAGTTCCAAATCCCCTTCTATAGGCAAGGCTGCCATTCACTAGATCAGGCTGCCCAGTATCCATCCAAATTGGCCTTGAATGCCTCCAAAGACGGAGCATTCACAACCTCTACTGTCTGAGTAAAAAATGTCTTCCTAATATCTATCCTAAATCTTCCCGTTTTTAGTTTAAAGCCATTCACCTATGTTCCATCACAATCAGACCATGTAAAAAGTCAGTCTCCCTCTTGCTTGTAAGCTCCCTTCAAGTACTGGGAGGCCTCAGTGAGGTCTCCCAGGAGCCTTCTCTTCTCCAAGCTGAACAAGTGCATTTCCCACAGCCTTTCCTCATAGTTATGCTTCTTTGATTGTATTTGTTGCCCTCAGGTCATGCTTAACCAGTCTGGTGGCCTTCTATGATGGAGTGACAGCATTGGTGGACAAGGAAAAGGTGACCAATGTCATTTACCTGGAACAAGGCCTTTGACATGGTCCCCTACCACATCCTTATCTCCAAATTGGAGGGATGTGGATTTGATGGGTGGACCACTTGATGGATAAGAAATTGGTTAAAAGGCCACAGACAGAGGGTGGTCATCAATGGTTCTGTGTCCAGGTGGAGGCCGGTAACGAGCGGTGTCCCCCAGAGGTCTGTCTTGGGACCAGTACATCTTTATCAATGATATCAATGATGGAATCAAGTGCACCCTCAGCAAGTTTGCTGATGTCACCAAGCTGAGTGGTGCGGTTGACACAGTGGAAGGAAGGGATGCCATTCAGAGGGACCTCGAGAGGCTAGAAAGGTGGTCCTGGGTGAACCTGATGAGGTTCAACACGGCAAAGTGCAGAGTTTTGCACTTGGGCCGAAGACATCCCAGGCATCCATATAGACTGGTGTTCAAGGCCAGGTTGGATGGGGCTCTGGACAGCCTAGTCTAGAATTCCATGTGGAGGTTGGTGGCCCTGCACGTGGCAGGAGGATTGGAGATTCATGATCCTTGAGATCCCTTCCAACCTTGGCCAGTCTGTGATTCTGTGTGATTCTGTGAACCAACAGCTCTGCATCCATCCTGTACAGGAGGCCCCAAATCTGGACTCAGTACTTGAGCTGGGGGAACCCAGCATATTTTTTGGCCTTCCAGGCTGCAAGAGGTCCCCCATCAAAACTAGTTTAAAGCCCTAACATTCATCATAAGATGCAGTAGGTTGAGTGCCCCTGCTAACGCTTTATCCCTCTAACTTAGTGATGCTGTCCTGCACCATGTCATGGGCAAGTTTGCTATCAACACCTTCCCTCTTCAAACCTAATTTAAATCCCTGACAGTGAGCCTGTCAGGAATCCTGGGCCAGAATTCTGATTTTCTCCTGTGACCTAGATGGATCCTATCAGCAGCCATTTTCATGCCAGGCACTGATTAAGCCACCGCACAGTCATTCATATAGATAGATAGATAGATAGGGAAAAAAAAAAAAAAAAAAAAAAAAAAGGAGAAGAAAAAGGAAAGAAATTGTAAAATCACCAGGAGTATAATTAAATGATGAAATTTATTGCTACAGTATGAGAGAGTGGGGACAATTTTTTAATGACAGATTAGGGTAGAAATGATTTCAGTTCAGGCTAGAGAAAATGTTAATTGACTAAATTTGGCTGATATCCTGACTGTATTTGAATACCCAGGGCACAAAGTTTAATTTCCTTTTTTCTCCTCAAAAGAAAGAACATATATCAAAATCTTCTAACCTTTAATGACATGGCTCAGAATTTGCCTTCTTGTACAAGGCTGAGTATTTCTTTAAGAGCTCGTTAAATTTTGTCAAACCATTGATTTAATCATGATTTTTAGGAAAATAAGTCATAATTGTTACTATATTTAATACTTGCATAACTATGTGTTTGCTTTTTTTTTAAAAAAAAAAAAATGAAATCTACCAATTATTTATGAAATAACATTGTTTTGATTTGATACATTTAAACTTTCTAGCTGAACTAACTTAGCTTTTAAAGACATGTTTAAATGCCTATCCATTTGGATGTATTTGCATTTTCAGATGGACAGAAAGATTTTGTTATTTCATAAAATCATATCACAGAATCATAAAATAGCCTGGGTTGAAAAAAAAACCTCAAAGATCAGCTAGTTTCAACCTCCCTGTTATGTACAGGGTTGCCAACCACTAGACCAGGCTGCCCAGAGCCATATCCAGCCTGGCCTTGAATGCCTCCGGGGATCGGGTGGGGCATCCACAGCCTTCTTGGGCAACCTGTTCCAGTGTGTCACCACCCTCTGTGTGTAAAACTTCCTCCTAATATCTAATCTAAACCTCCCTGTCTCAGTTTAAGACTATTCCCCCTTGTCCTATCACTATCAACTCCTGTAAGCAGTCTTTTTTGTATAAAAACAAGAGAAAGCTTATCTAAAATATATTTTCAGAAAGCAGAAGCTGAAGTCTTTAATGGGAGATTACAGGCTCATCCTGATTCTTCCTAGCTATAAAATCTCTGTTGTTTGTTAGTTTTTCCACTTGGGAAAAAAAAGAAAAGAAAAGAAAAAAAAAAAAAACAACTCTTCACTCAGTGAATGAAAAAGGCACTTAATAGTAACTAATGAAACGAGGAAATCTGCATATCCAAGTACACAGATAAATACTATAACCACTTAGTTGTATACTAGTTGAATAGTTATTCTTGATGATTTTCACTGATAATTCTATACTGATTTGAGAAATCATGACAAAGTTTAACAGAACTTTTCAAGGGGGAAAATCAAGGGCTTTTTAAATCATGTAATGCAGAAATAGGTACCAATTTGTAGAACTTCATTGTTGTTTTGAACTGGTAAATGAGAGAACAGATCCAATGTTTCTGAAAAAAAGCCCTCACAAAAGTAACCTGTGGAAGCCTGTGGGATGATGGCACAAATAGAGCACAGATCTGATGGAAATTTCCTCTTTCATAATGAACATTTGAAGGACTATAATTATACAGTTTACCATTCCGCTTTTTTTTATTATTATCATTATAGCTTGTAGGTTACTTTATTGCCTCTCTCTCAAGCTGGTCCTCTCTCAGTTGCAAATTCCATATTCCATTGCTTTCACGTGCATCCTTATGATTCTTCCTTTATTTTTTCTTGCATAAGAGATCTTCTCCTTTCTTTTTCTCTTAAAGTCTTGTTCGTTTGTACACTGGAATTTCTTTGGAAAATCTTGAATGATTTTTATAGATTTAGACCAGATTTGTCTTGCTGCTAGTGTATCCACAACTCCGATTCTATCCAGTTTTCTAATCCACAAATCTAATTCTCATTCTTTTTAATGTAGGCTTTTACTGCTTACCCTGATAGCTCATCCTCTTTCTAACCAAGCACAGTTGTTAGCATATTCTTCTTTCATTCACACTGTGACGTTTTTTCTCAGTCGCATCAAATACAAACTACACACCTTGCCTTATGTAAACTATCTCCTTCCCCTATTCATTTCTAATTCTTCAAATCCTACTGTCAGTCACTCCGTACTAAATTCCAGATATCTCTGCTGATGTCAATGTTTACATCTTTCATATCCAAAAATGATTCCCTAGTTTTGTTTAACATGAATAAAGTGTGTTGTCCAGATTAATCATTTCCAAAATTAAAAAGGCTGTTGAAAATTAAATAATTGAACTTTTTGTCACTCTACATGTCTGTATTTGTGTCTCTGTACATAAATTATTTTACACAAATGCCGTAGAGGTTTTTTTTTCTGATCTTGGAAGGTCCTTGGTTGAGTGCAATATGATATGATACGTAGGTCTCATTTTTGTAATTATCATTGCACTGGTAAATAAAGCTTTGGTCTAGGAAAATTCTCATCCTACATTAATCTTTCAAAATGTAAATATTTATATATGTCTGAAGAAATTAATCCTTTTTCTCAAAATTTATTGTAGCAATGTTAGTGGCCCTGAAGAGCATTTTAAAATATATACTGGATCTGAACAAAGCATATCAGATGAGGCATTGGCACAGACTGCCCAGAGAGCTGTGGTGCCCCATCCCTGGAGGTTCTCAAAGCCAGGTTGGATGGGGCCTGGGCAGTCTGAGCTGGTTGCCAACCAGCCTATGGCAGGGATTGGAACTGGATGATTTCCATCTTATATTTCTGTACTGTCCTTTCCAACCCAAGCTATTATATGATTCTGTGATTCTATAAATTGGGCTATTTATGTCAGTTATTAGCTTTTCTGTTGGGCATGAGGGACATCAAAAAGTAAGCCACACCATTTTTTCTGATATACATATGATATGTCAATATATGGCAAACAGGTGATATTTCATTTTAAATATTTCTTATTTTCCAGGTGTGATGGGGGAGTATGAACCAAAAATTGAAGTTCATTTTCCTTACACAGTTACAGCAGCAAGGGGAACAACTGTTAAGATGGAATGTTTTGCACTTGGCAAGTAAGTCCAGATTATTTCATAATTAGACATGATTGTTTATTAAGATGTGACATGTCTAATTTGTTGTCCCATTATTTTGTTGCATTGCATTTTCACAGACATCCATTTCTGCAGCTAAAACTAATTATGAATTCCCTGCCCAACTATTTCTGTGGACAGTAATTCGTTCAATTTAAAAGACTGTCAAAATGAAAAGTAGTGTTCTCACAAAGAAAAAGAGAACAGTTTTTGTGTTGAAAATTTTACCACACTCACGCTTTTATTTATTGTGATAACGTTTAAATCAGTAAATTCAATCAGTAAATTCCATTTTGCTCTGCCAAAATATTGTAATTGGAGAATAAAAAAGATTAGTATCTTTTTTTTTTTCCAAAAATACAGTTGTTGGGTTGTTTTTTTTTGTTGTTGTTGTTTGGTTTTGGTTTTTGTTGTTGTTGTTTATGAAGATAATAGCACAATGATCTGAGCATTTCCTAACGCACTTTGTAGAAACTGAAGTTCTCTCATTTCTACCTGAGCTAATTGCTCTACTAGAGAATAGGCACTTTGTATACATATCTAGGTAGGGAACTGATAATGTTTTGATTTTGTTGTGACAGTTACTCTTGTTGTCATTTTAAAGAGTAAGTGTGGCAAGGATAGTATACATTCAGGCAGATCTAAACAGTAATTTGAGTGACTCAAAGAGAATATTTTTGCCTTTGTATATATATTGAAAAAAGGTGTTCCATAATTGAAAACTCATAAAAAAATATAAATAAATAATATAAAATATAAATAAATATATTAAAAAAAAACACAAAAGATTTTCTTTTTCAAAGATGTATACCTTAAAATTACAAGAGGTGTGTGTCAAATGTGTCAGTGCAATCACACTGTATTGAACACCATTCAGTTCGTTTTTGCAGTGATGCTGTTTTTGCTCATATTTTCCCTGGTCATACAGCTCAGTATCACTCATACTGCCTGGTTTTCAAGTTTACAGTTTATCAGGGCACATACAGATTCCTCATGGGCTGGCTTGAATTAAGAAACAGTGGGAGGTTTTTTATGGTGGAATTTCACAATTCAGTTAGTCTAGGGCCATGTCAGGGGTTCTGTATGCTCTTCTTTTTTGTCCCCCTAAGTAAGAAATAAATTCCAGAGGAAAGAAATTTTAAAGCAATAGAGTAATTTCCTGAAGATCACCACTCCACATTGTTTGGTATATGTGGTTTTCTAGAACAATCTGTTGAAGCCTGTCTTCATCACCTGAGAGGACTTTTTTATATTTTTATAGCTATTTTTACATTCATGTCATTTTTATTACTTTTTGTTGTTGTTGTTTTGATGATTGGTTGGTTCGGCTCAGGTTTTTCCCTTAACAATTTATATTTAATAGCTGGATGAGATTTGTCTCAAATTTGTTTTCCTTCGCTCCTGTTTCTCCTGGCAATCCAAAATCATTTGATCAACATCCAAGTTAACCTCGGTGACTATATCAATAGAAAATATTCATAAACAATTGCAGAGTAATATTGCTTTAATTGTATCTATTTAGGCCCAGTGACCTTAAAGTGAAAGATAGAACAGTGCTCAATCAGTCCAAACAAAATTTAGGAGGCATGCAGGGAACCATCAGGCAGTGGCTGCTTTTTGTAGATTCATGTTCCACCAAAATGCGAACAGGAGCTTCAGAAAAAAAAAAAAAAAAAGGGTGCGGAGAACTTCTGTGGGGTAAAACACAATTTTTATATTTTGTACAGTAAAGACAAGGCAAGGGGTAAATGAGAGAGAACAGAAAACCAATAAATGGAAAGATTTACAGAGATACTAGATTACATGAGAAGAATAGCTGATTGTATAGGCAGGTTGCTCCAGGCTTCCTCCTGTCAGCAATGTTAACTACTTTTCTGCTAGGTTAATACTGGCAACAAGTCTCTTTTAGACTCCTGGCTATGGCTGGAGCAGTAACCAACATATTAGTTTCATTTTCTTCCTCTTGTTGGAATTAAATTGCAGTTGCAGGCAGATTCCTAGTCAATTGTCACTTTTCAGTGAAGAGGATGTTCGCCAAACGTTGTCAAGACCAAGAGTAAAACATCTTGTAGGCAAGAAAAGCAGGTGCTGATACTTTCCATCATCAGTACCTTCAGATTTAGTAAACTCTCTCAAAAAGACTCAGTTTTTCAAACTACCACATAAGGAAGCTGATGATTGATAGGAAAGGCTTCAATTAGTTTATTTCCAGGTTGATATTTGGCACTAAACTTTAACAAGCAAACAAACAAACAAAAAACAACAAAGAAAAACAGAATACCTGATCCATCAGGAAATTTAAGGTTATCTAATTAGTTGATCCCATTTGCTGCTATTGCAATGGGCAACTATTATTAACATACATACTCCTTATCTTCTTATCAGGTTCCCTGTTCATTTTCATCACTTTCATTTTTTTTCCCCATCTTTTATTTCTGATAGCTTGTACAATTTTTTTCTTGTTCTGCTGCCACAGGTGCCCATTACCAAGCCGAAATAGCAGCTAATTAGCTCTTTATTTAACATGTTGAGATTTGAATTCTCAAAACCAATGTGCTGCTGTTTTTCTTTTGCTTTAATTTAGCAGTCTCAAATGTTGCTCTCCTCTTATGCATGTAATTGTGAGTGTGACAGACATTCCAGCAAGATTTCCAGGTATCTGAAAACATTCCAGAAAGAGCCTAGTTACAGATCAATGATTTATTAATAGTGTTTATTTAGAACTGCCAGTCACTATGACTGTAGAAATTAAGTAAATTGGATCTGGGCTGTAGAAATTGAACAAATTGGAGCTGTGCAGCTTTTGCCTTCAAATTAATTGCTTAACAGGTAGAAATTTTCCAAAAAGGATTTTATTTTGACCTAAGTAACATGCTGCTTGTTCAGTTGCAAGAGAAAATACTGTGTTGGGAATGTCAGAGATAAATAGATTTTATAGTTTCTAAAGAATTCAAAATAATACAGGAATGAAATATGTCTAAATAATATTATTTGAATGACATAATGCTGCTTATAATGATCAACAATAATTGGCAAAGAAATTGCTGCATTTATCCACTGTGGAGATATAACAAACAGAAGAATTCAAAATAAATATATATGTAATATACATCAAAGTGCATTTTGTAATTAGCTATGTTTAGTGTTTTGTCTTGGGTTTTTATGCTGATCTACATTTATTTGCAGATGTTTTTTACAAATAGATTTACTCTTATACCCACAAAAAGACTTGTGTTTTGATTACTTCTATATTTTACATATACCTGTACATGGAGCACATGTGTTTTCTGTCACCTATTTAATTATGTCATATTAACTAGGATCATTTGAATTTGCGTTTCTTTGCTAGCATAACAGACAATCATAATTTTTGGCAAAGAAAAATTCAGAAAAATAAACTCATACAATAATAAAGGACTAACATTTTTTTAACTTTTCATAAGAACTACGTGACAACGTGCTTGCAATTATTTCAGTCACAACACTTGTCATTTTAACACTTTCTGACTTTGGGGAATATTTATCTCAGAAGTACTTTTATTTTTACATGGGTCTTAAAAGCAAAAGTAAATGGAAATAAATTTTATAAATAGTTCAGACAATGATACAGGACTCTGTCCAAGTTTTAAATACACTCCTTTCCAACAACCAAACAGTTGTGCCCTCAGAGGAAAGCAGCTCAAGAAAAAGGAAGTGTTAGTACAATCCTGCTCTTTTTTCCCTAGTTTTAAGATATATAGTTCTAGATTGACTTCTTCTTTCCATTTCAAACAATTTTTCTAAGCATACTTTTTCACACATAAGTATTTTAAAACCAAGTTGCATGACATTACATGACCATCAGAGTTGAACCTTTTTTTTCATTGTATTTTTGGCAGTGCAACATACTATACTGCTGCTTTTACTTTGTTCTCTATATAAACCTCATTGGTTTTCTGGTTACAGCAAGGAAATAAAATATATATTTTTATTATGATGGTGCCTGTGATTCTATGATTCTGTGCCTAAAGCCAATTTTGAGTGAGTAATCATATTTGATTTCTCACTAGAACAAATTAGAGGATGTGGTCTATAGCCATACTTGCTAAAGTTTCAATCTTTGCTTTAAAAATAGAATTAATGTTTCAATGAAAAAGAAATATATATATATATATTTAATGTTATGCTTGTTTTTTAACCACATAGATCATCAGACAGAGATTTTAATCACAAGAATCAAGAGATAAGTGTTCTGACAGTTATTTTTTCTTGTACCTCATATGATTGTTTTTCTATAATTTGACAGAAGGTTTCATTTTGTGTTATTTTTATGTAATAGGAACATCTCTACAGTATAACAATATTATTTATAAATGCTAGTTTAGTTCACTTTACTAATATAAAGTCTATGTCTTTATTGCAAAATAATCTCAGATAAAGAGGAATTAAAGAGATATTGACTTACTTTTATTACTTCTATTATGATGAGGTTGTTGTGATAAAACTGTTGTTTTGGTGTTACACTTCATTTTGTTTTAATAATTATATTATAAACCCTCTTTTGAAGAGATTTATTGCTAATCATAAACAATCACCCCACCTATAGTGTGGCCTGCAAGAACTCAGTCTATTTTTAAATCTTGCTCTTTAAATTAGATAAAGAAAAGGTAACATTATATATTTTTAAATCACAGAATCAAATGAAATTTTGTAAATTACATTTCAGGAGACGTTCCAAAATATTCTCCAGAAATAATGAACTCTTTGAATAAATTCTGATTTGTAAACATATCACAGTTTTAAATCCATGGAATGCAGAATTTTATTCTTTTTCCTCAACTTGATTTTTTTAAAATGATTTTACAAAAAGCACTTCAAGCTTTTATTAAATTTTAAAAATATTTATTTACTTATTTTTGTATTATCAATAACTTATTGTTATCAATATTTTCATTACACACAATGTACATTTACAGAGAGCTTACTGAAAACTTTACAATGTC